TAGCATTTGATGGAGAATCAGCATCGGAGAGCTCGACCGCAAGGCTTGATAGTGCCGATTTTGAGGAGACCGATGGGGGAGAAGTGCCAGAGGTGTCCACCGATACGGGGAGCACTTCGAGTGTGGAAGTAAAGGGGGCTGACGACGCCCACCCATCGACATCTAGTCGTCGAATGGGAGAGGCTGAGGCCGATGTGTCGGTTGCCGATCCTAGGGAAGGCGTGCTGACGGTGGTCACCGGCCGATAAAGGATACCGATGGTGAAGCCAAAGGGCCTTGTGTTCCGGGTGGACCATATAGAGCCGAACGTCCTGACCGAGGTGAAGGTGGCGAAGATCCAGGCCTTGTACAACATACCGGAATCGGTAAAGATGCGGATTCCAGGGCCGTTGGAGTCGCTGAGCGATCCGAAGAGGGAGGTTGTCTTTTTTACGGATGTCTTTAAGCACGGGCTTCGGCTGCCACTGAGGCATTTCGTGCAGAAGATCCTGGCGGCGATCGGCTATGCCCGAGGTAGTTTAATCCAAATTTTTGGATTACACTCTTGGGGAAGGTCACGGCCTTCGGCATAGCTGGTGAGGGGGAGCCGAGCTATGAGCAATTTGCCCATCTGTACAGTGTGACGAGGGCGAAGAGCGCCGATCAAGGAGGTGGGTGCAGTCGAACTGTCTGTCGGTGGGGCAGAGGGGGCACTTCGTAGTCAGGGTGCCGACCTCGCAGAAGACCTGGCGTCGGCATCGGGTGTTGGTGTCGGAGCTTGGGAATCGGTGCCAGGAGTGATTGTGGAGAGGCATATCCCCACTTCCTTTCAGACAGTCGGTAGGCCCACTGGGTGTCGTTCGGTATCAATAGCGTTTTTTTTTTTACCGAAGCTAACTGGAGGTTGTATTTTTGTGTTTCAGTGTCCTTGAAACGGCCGATCGCTACGAAAAGGGAGATAGAAGTCATCGAGCGTGTTTGGTCAAGAATACCTGAGGAGGGTCGTGTGCACAAGGCTCTGCTAGACTACAAGAACCTGTTCAAAGTGGGTTTGATTAGCGAGCATGAGTACCGCCGAAGGAAGAAGGGAGAAGGGGAAGAGAGGCAAAGTAAGTAATGCCATTCGGCCTTTCATTATTTCAGGTTATTGTGGCGTATGTCGAATCTGCCATAACTCCCCTTTGTTTTGTGCAGTGGCAGGAGGGAGGGCAATGACCGAAGCAACGAGGAGGAGGCTCGAGTCGCGGGCCCCTCAGAAGAAGAAAATCGGTTCCTCAAGGCCGAAGACGAAGCCGCCCCGCCAGGCCGAGGGTGCGTCGGCACAAGAGGGCACACCGGGCGATCGGCGGGGGGGGAGGAGGGGGGCGGGGGCCCGCCAGGCCGAGGGTGCGTCGGCACAAGAGGGCACACCGGGCGATCGGCGGTGGGAGAGAAGGGTGGCGGAGGCTGAGCTGATCCGGGAGGCCTATCTCCAGGTGACTGGAAAAAAGGTGATCGAGGGTGCCCTCGATGTGACCCCTCTACCGAAGAGGCCAAGGGGGCAGAATGAGGAAGCAACCGTCCTCGTGTCGAACGAGGAGGATGCCGAGGCAGAGCCGGTGAACATCGCCTGCCCTCAAAAGGTGGTACCGTTCGTGAACTACTTCATCAACGGTGCTCAGATAGAGCTCCAGGAGCTGGAGCAGTTGCCGAAGAAGTAGGTGCGTGAACAGGCCGGGCGTGCCTTCCGCCTCCAAGCTGTCGTAAGTATGCTCACCATAGTTTTGTCCAATCCAAGGGTTGAGGTGATGGGAAAGTGCTAATGTTTGTGTTGTTTTGCAAGCCAACATGCAGATGTGGCTCGGCATGAAGCGGGCTATCAACGCGGCCCAGCACGTCTAGAAGAAGTACGAGGATGGCCGAGCCAAAATTGTCGAGGCTGGGAAGCTACTCCAGGATCCGGATCGGCATGCGGAGGAGAACGTTGCCAAGATAACCGAGCTATCCTCCAAGTTGGCAGAGGCCGAAAAGGCGGCAGTAGATGCCGAAGGGGCGAGGGCGAGGTCAAAGGCGGCGAAGGAGGCCGAGCTTCGGTCTTGGGCGACGGAGTTGGAGGAGGCCAAGAAACAGGCCATAGCTGAGTACCGAAACTCCCTGGAGTTCGTGGCATTGCTGGACAAGGAGGTGATGGAGCAATGCGGGGATCTCATCTACCGGTTCAAGTGCTTCAATGCCGATAAAAAACTGAACTTGAACTTCGTCTGGGATCCTCCGCCGTTGCCCGAGAGGGTAACTGAGGAGATGGTCAAGGCGTACCTCGGGGAAGATGCCGAAGTCGATTCCTCGAGCGGCTCAGAATCAGACGGTGAGGAGGAAGAAACGACTCATCCTACCGAGTCGTTGAGTGCCCGAGAGGATGAGGGCGGGCCGGCACCGCCCGAGGCCGATCCTCCAACTTCTTGACTGCTGCCCTATTTGTCTCTTTTGTTGTTGTAATATATAAAGTTAGTGTTTGGATATTGAGGCCGTTCAGCCAATTTTGTAAAGTCTAATTTGAATCTGCTTCGGTGTTTGTCCTTGTTGACGAATATAAGCATGTATGCCGAATTGTGTAAAAATAGGAAAACGATACTGCTATTGAAAGAAAAGTTGTACAAAAGTGTAGTGGCCGAAGGTCCAGTCACTTATAATAGAATTTTAAATGTTCAACATTCCAAGGGTGGTCGAGGGCGACCATCGGAGCCATGCAATCGGTAGGTGCCGGGTCGGCAAATGCTGACGATTTCATAGGGTCCTTCCCAGGAGGGGCCTAGAGTGCCCTTGGTAGGATTTCTCGTTGCGAGAGACACTTTACTCAGAACCCAGTCCCCCACTTTGAACGATCTGTGTTTTACGCGCGAGTCGTAATACCGAGCTGTTCGTTGTTTGTAAGTAGCGTTCCGGAGCTGTGCTTGCGATCGGTGTTCGTCAATGAGATCCAGGTTAAGGGCGAGCTGTTGTTCATTCTGTTGAGGGTCGTAGGATGCCGTTCGGCATGTTGGCGCATGTACTTCCACCGACACGACAGCTTCGGTACCGAAGGCTAAGGAGAACGGTGTCTCCCCAATTGACCTTCGGTAGGAGGTATTGATGGCCCATAGTGCTTCTGGTAGTATGGCAGGCCAATTGCCCTTGGCGGCTCCCAGCTTCTTCTTCAATGTTTTCTTGATGATCTTGTTGATGGCTTCTACCTGCCCATTGGATTGTGGATGTGCCGGTGATGCAAAGAAGATGCTGATGTTGAAACGGGAGCAGAGATGCCGAAACCATGAGCAGTCGATCTTGGCTGCCGTTATTGTCGCGAGGGCTTCGACCTCAGTCTATTTGGTGAAGTAATCGACGGCCACGACTGCGAACTTAAGCTGACCCGTGCCCTGCGGCAAGGGGCCGATGAGATCGAGTCCCCATTGGGCGAATGGCCACGGGCTAGTCATCGGATTGAGTGGTTCGGCAGGGATCGCACCTTCGCACTAAATCTGAACAGATAAGAGTTTAGGCTAACTTATAAGTGTGCTGATGGTTGAGGATTGGAGTGACCTTCTTCCGTGATGTCCGAAGGTTAGAGCAGGGGCTGGATCCGAACTGAGGAGAGGATACCGGTGTGGTACCTGGCAAAGGCACTTCGATGCCAAAGTTAATAACTAATAGCGATTCTATTGACAGTGGAAGCACTAGTCAAGTCAGAAAGTCTTATCACTTGGCTGGGCCAGGAGGCTCTATTTATAAAGAGCATTTGTGTTGCTCCTAGTACTTAGTTTCGATGTGGGACTCGTGGGAGTGTCTTCCGAGATCGACACTTGCTCTGACAGGTTCCTGGAGAAGTTCTGAGTTAATATGACAGAATTGGATTGACGTGATGGTTGGTTGCTCGGCAGACCATGCCGAAGGTTAGCGAAGGGACTGATGGTGCATAATCGACCCCATGAATCGGTACAGCATGCCGAACGTACATTCGGTATGGCCCGGTTGAGTTGGTCTCGGCTTTGAGGGTGTTCCACGTGTCATGACGTGAGTGGGCGGTCAGATATGGTACAAACATTTACTTTTACTATCAATTTCATACATCCGTCTGTGTTGCCATCAAGATCTTCGTTAAACGCTGATGTGTCCTTTCTATGGCCCACCACTCATCACCAAAAGTGTCTCAAGTGGGTCCTAAACTTTATAAACTCCCACCAAAAATCCAACGAGGTAAATGGTCCATCTAAAAGTAAATAATAAAAAATTATCTCTCCATTTTCTCTCTCTTGCCTTCCCTCTCTCTTCGAATTACAATTACTTTTTTTTTTTTTTCTCAAGCTCAATCTCTCTCTTCTCTCTCTTCTCTCCATTGCTCACCTCGCCACCCATCAATTAAGTCAATCAATATAAGGAAATCACATATTTTTCTTCTCCTTCAATTAATCAAACCTTTATAAAAAAGGAAAAAAAATTCTTGTTAATCAAACTCAGTTTCCCCTTTTCAATTAATTTTCTTTTTCGTCTCCAGCTCCTGCAGCAACTTTGCTTTAGCCAGCAACTGCAACAAACTGAGAGAGAGGTTGGCGATTGCTCCCTCTCCCTCTTTCATTGGCTGCTCTAAACCCTAATTGTAATCTATAATATTGATTTATGTTGGGCTGAGGTTGGCATTGGAAGCAACAATAGAGGGAGGGCTCGAATATTGGGTGCCGATAATAGATTTGGGGCCAGAGAGAGACATGAACAAAGGGATGGGGGTGGGGTGGCTGAGGATGAGATTTTTTTAAGTTCTTATTTAGGGCTGTGTTTGAAGGATAATTGATTGGGTTCGTGGGGAGAGGGCGCGTTGGGTTTATTTGGTTTATTCCCTTTTGGCCATGTTTGGTGGGCTGGACTGGACTAGATTTTTTCAATTAAAATATATTACAATCCTATCCGTAGTTTGGTGAGCCTAAATGCACAATGGGACTGGTTCGAACTTGTATTTTCTATGGGATAACAGTCCAGTGAACCCTAGTATTGAAAACCCGAGGGGAACCACGGGTTTAGAATGACATCGCCTCCTCCTCCTTTCTCCTTTGATCGTCTATGCCTCCGCTTCCTCTCTCCTTCGATCATCTATGCCCTTGCCCCTGCTTCCTCTCCTTCGATCATCTACGCCTCTTCCCCCTCCTCCTTCTTGGCTCTTCTCCTCATTTCCTCATATCTTCTTCTTCGTCAACATAAGCTGGTGAGCAATGCCCATTTTTCTCCAATAATTTTCTTCTCGGTTTGTGGATTTGTGAAATTGGTTTAGTTTTTTTTTTTTTTGCTTTCTTTGTCGTTGAATGAAGTGGATGGGGATTTGCAGCTTCTTAACCTCTTTCTGTTTAGTTTGTTCAAAACTATGCTTGTTATGAAGATGGGTTTTTTATTTGAATGTTAATGATCAGTTGAGCTTGTAATATGTGAGATATAACACCTTATGTTTTTAAATTACCATTATTTCTTGTGTTTTCCCTTTTTAAATTTGCCAAAATCATTGATTTGCTTAGGGAATTTAAAAGCAGGAAAACATCTTTGCGAAAATGCTCTGAAACAATTGGAAACATCTTTTTAGATTAATATTTTGGTTCCCATTCACACACCACAGGAACAGAATCTCAAATTAATCTTTTTGGTTCCCAAATGTTCTCTCTCTCTCTCTCTCTCTCTCTTTGTGTGTGGACAGATTGTTGCTTTCTCAATTAGGACTTCAGTAATAGATGACTCTCTTTTGCTTTGTAGATAGATATCAGACTCAAATTTACACTGAATTTGAGTATTTGATGCTTCATGTGAATTTATTTGTTTACTTTGAAGTTTTTAAAGAAAATTATAAAACCTATAAACAAAAAGTTGTCTAGAGTTTTAAATAATGATAAATTATGCATATATTCAGTATAAGGTTTCTTGCCTTTTTTTTTTCTTTCCAAAAATGATTTAGTAATTTGTACGTTGGTCTACTTTCTCAGGGCCATGGTTTTGACTATCAGCTATTTCATACCTAAAAGTATTGGATCTTGAGCAAGCAGTGAAAGGGCTATCTGGTAATCTAATACTATTAGTCGGATATACTGTATGTTTTCTTTTCAAAATTCCATATTAAGGTTGATGTTGATGGAAGATTAGTTTGTCGTCCTACAGAAAGAGGTTGTGCGTCTTGCTTTGGAATTCCAAATGAAATATGTGATGATGATATAAAGGAGATTTTGGATTTGCTCACTATATCCGATAAGGTGATTTCTTTATACAGACATTATAGGGAAAGTGTAGCATTTACAGATAGATTATCTCTTCATAAGTTATGGTATCATGAAACTAACTTTTGATCCTCCACAAACATAATGAAGCTACCTAGGAAGATGAACATAGAGGACTATTGGCTTTTTTAAGGTTGTTTATATGACCCTTTATTTGTTAAATAATGAATACAAATTTTTCTTTGCTGGAATTGCTCATTTTTAACTATGGACAACCTAATGAGCTTCTTCAACCATTTGGAATGCACAACTTATGCTACTAGTATTCTACACAATTACATTGTTATAGGGAGCTAACAGATTAGCTAACCTATTAGTGTTGGTGTCTAAAATGGTTTTAGCCATTTCATTTTGAAAGAAAGTTATTATTTAGGAAATGCATTGTATTTGATTTGTAGAATGTGAAAGTAGGGTTCTGTTGGGCTCCATTGTTTTTATCATAATGATGGCGAAAACTCTCCATGGGCTAGTTTGACTTGGCCAACCACTTAAATCTGTGTGTTCTTATGGTTACTCATTTTCATCTTGGCTTTTATTGTTTTTATCTTTCCTTTGTTATTATTTGTCAGTACGAGGGGATTAGTTCCAATAATGTTCTACACTCAGTAATTGATTTAAATGCTACACATTCCCTAAATGCTCTTGTTCTTTTAGGTAGTGGTTTTATTTATTTATTTATTTATTGTTTCGCTACATCTAATTTAGTTAAGCAACCCATCTTATGTTCATATGCGTGGTTTCTACAGATTTTTGCTTTCTCAATTTGAACTCCAATATTAGACTTTTACTTTCAGTGCTCTAGGTTTATGCATATTTTGATTAGGATGCCTTGTAACATCCCGGCCCAATTTAATTGATTTAATCCAATTTAATTTTTTTTGTGAAATTATAATTTTGCCCTTGGGAGTAGGGGTACTTTGGTCACTTTTTAATCCAGAAGGATTTTGGGGAAATAAGTGGCACCGTTACGTAGAACTTGTCGATGCAAGTTCATAGACATGTAGTGGGACAAAATCGGAGTTTTAACGAAGAATTTACGGTCAACTGAAGTGTAGTGGCACAACCGTAATTTTTTCGAAGTTGGATTTTTAAAAGACCAGGTCTCTCTCTCTCTCTCTCTCTCTCTCTCTCTTCCCACGACACTCTCTCTCTGTCACGCCAGGCAGATTTTCCAACGTCAATTCTGGCTTCGTCCGGCCACCGTTTAAGAACGAATCAACTTGCAAAATCTTCGTCTCTTCCTACTCTACACGTCCATACCCATTTCCACCTTCGTAACTCCAGGATTGGTCGTGATTTTCGACTAAAACCGAGCCGAAAACCCCCTTTTGTTGCTAGAACTATTTGTGCAATTTTCAGCTATTCCGGCAGCCAACATTGTCGAACCATGTATGAAACTTCATTTACTTTTCGTGCTCTACTTGTTTACGTGCTTTGTTTGGGTTAATTTTGAGGTTTTACAAATCGATTCTTAAACCCAATTTTGGCCAATGGTTTCGGCTTCGTTCCAGCTAGTTCTAGTTAGTTTTTGGTCGTGGTCCAAGAACAAAAATCACTCCCCTTGTTAGTCTGAACATATAAGTATAGGTATTGTAGGGTGTTTCGAGAATTTTCCGTCACTGAAATTTTCTCAAGACACCCACGCTCTATCAGTTCATGTTCTAAAATGTTCCAAATGTCGTCCCGAACATGACGATATGCTCGGATTTGAATTTAGTTATCATTTGTCAGTCGAACGGATTTACACCTATTAGGCGATATCCGGTTTTGATTTGTTTGGACCGTTGGTTCGGCTCCATTTTCAAGTATGTTCTTTTCTGTATCTCTAGGATTGTGTAGGAACTCTCAAATCAATGAGTGTAGGGTTAAGTAAACTGGTTACCAGCATATTTTTTTGGAAAGTCTATTCTAAAAAAACCCATGTGACTACCTGACTTTTAAAAGTCAAAAATTTCAACTGTCACAAGGGAGCTGATGGGGAATTAATGAAAGCATGTTTTACAGGAAGACTTCTCCAGTCTTTACAGTCAAGGAAGAAAATCAAAATCCATTTCTATATACAAAGAAAAAATCTACTCCAGAGCAGGTATCATTTCCAAAAGATAAGCAGACTACATTTTCTAAAGAGATAAGTAGGCAGTAAGGAGTTGTTCATAAGAAAAAGCAAACTACCAATCACCGCAGATTGAATTCTTACATATAGCAGTTAAGGGTTAAAAAAGGATTAAGTTTTCTTTCAAAAACAGAGAAGTGATCACCATAAGAACTGACTGTTGATTGCTTTTTGACATAATAGATAAATTCCCCTTTTCTTTGACATTTAAAATAAAAGATCTTGCTTTTTAGAAAATCTGCCTCCAATTATTAAAAGATTAGAAATCCCACTCTAGCATTTTCTATAAAAATGAGAGGACGTGAACAGATCGAAGGACAACCAAAAAATCAATCAAAAAACAAAAACTCAAAATGATCACTTGATCTCAAAGACCTTCAAAACACTGAAGCAACCAAAGCTCATTGAGCCACAAGAAGCAAATCAGCTATAAGTCAGAATCTCTAACTTTAGTTCAGTTCAGAGAAATAGTCATACAAATGGAGATTTCTCTCGTTACAAATTTGGTTCAGCATAAGCCAAATCAAGCAGAGTCCGAGTTTTTACAAGTATGAAAACCTCAACAAATTTATGGAGAGCCATGATCTAGCAGAACAGGTACTACAGTGCAGTTCCAGCTCCGTAATCATCTAATCCAGCCACTTCTGCCCCTTCCAGAATGAAGAGGTTCCAATTCTGCCTGTTCAAAAAGCCTTCCAGGGCTTGAAATAGATTAAAGCTCTGCCAAACTCGAAAGTTGGCATCGATTTACAGCTGAAACTTGACAGTTGAAGGTGTTGATAGTCCAATCTAGCACAGACACACCCAGTCTAGCCCGGATCAGAAGCATCTATCCAGACAAAAATTGAAGTCCAATGTCCTTTTTGTCTTTTTTAGAGTTGGTCTTTCCTTTTTGAGCTTTGTAAAAGGGAGTTCTGCCTGAAAACAGTTTACTTTCTTATCATTCATTCAGGCCAGAACTACTAGTCTTGTACTGTGAAAAATTGTGAAGTCCTCACTAGTTTGAGGCAAGAAAAGAACTTACTTGGGAGATATTCCTCACCCAAATTCACAATCGCTTGTTTAGAAATCAATAACTTGGGGCGCAAGTTATCCATTTCAAAGAAGTCTGCTAGGGTTTTTATTATTAGCAGTGGCACACTCATACACAAAAGAAAGTTGACTTGTTGACCATAAATGGTTTTCAAGCAAATGGGAAACTTTACCCTACCATCACAGGAACAAATCTAAAACGGCTCATGGAGCACCAGGAGTCGACATTCCAGGTCTGGTTCCAGAAGGTTAAACCAGATACAGTAGGCTGTGTTCCGGCAAGAGGCCACAACACAAAGGAGCTAGGATACTCTAAACAACATGACAGTCATGCAATGACAAGTCAACAGGCAGTTCATGAAGGACCGTGAAGCTGCTATTGCTAGAATTTCAAACCCAGATATGGTGGTCTAGCAGCTAGATCTCCCTTTTGGACCTCCACCATGACTAGCATGGCCATACCAAGAGAATCCTCCCATTGCACAAATAGTTGGAAAGCCAAGACATGGAGAAATCCAAGTTGGACATAGGGGAGGACCGTTCTCGTCCAAGAACATGAAGCTTTAGTCCTTCCAGAAGGCTCTGCAATAGTTTAGGCCCCCCAGAACCTCCACCCATTTCACAACTGGTGGTCCTACATGATTAGCCCTTGACACTTCTGCCTGAGCAACCAGCTGTGTTGCCTTATAGACCTAGAAGGATGGACCCCAATCCATTCCCTCCACTAGTTAGAGGCAGGAGAGGTAGAGAGGGAATCAACACTTTTGCCAACAATGACAGGAACAGACCGTTGGCAAATTGGAGGAATCACCTAGATTTCAAAGAAAAGGAAGAACATAGGGAGGAAGCTCTGCCCAGATCATACAAAATGGAATAGAGGATTGAACACAACTAGCCAAAACATGGGTGAAATCCGCATCCTGTCAATGCCTTGAATGACATGGGAGCACTACAGAGGATGATAAGAAAGATGATGGAACCTGAGGCCAGAAGAGGAGAAAGGCCCACCTACAGAAAGCCACATCCAGCTTATATTGATCAAATACCTCTGTCCCTGGGCTTTAAGGTACCAAACTTCACCTTGTTCAACGGAGAGGACACCCGTGCTTCATCAGTTGAGCATATAGGTAGATTCTCTGTCCAATGCATAGCCATAGAAAATAACCCTCTGTTAAAACTAAGGCTTTTTGGAAACTTTCTCTCCGGACAAACCTTCACCTGGTATACTAGCTTACCAGCCAATTCTGTTCAAACTTGGGAACATATGAAAAATGTCTTCCATGACTACTATTTTAGGATTCAGCCAGAAGTCACCATAAGTGATTTTGCTGCCCTCAAACAGAGTGAAGATGAGCCTACCCAAGACTTCATAACCAGGTTCAGAAAGCTCAAAATGAAATGTCGAATCCCTATGGAAGAAAGACACTTCATTCAAATGGCTTAAACCACCCTTAAAATATCTCTGAGGAAGAGATTTGATGGAATGTTGTTTGGAGACCTGGCAGAACTAGCAGACAAAGCATCTAAATACGAGGAGTTGCTCAGGGAAGAACAACAGAAGAGGAACTCCTCCAAAGGCATATATTATAAAACCCCATCTTCTTTAGTGCATCTGGTTGAGGTAGAATCAGAAGAAGGCACAGAAAGCTCAGAAGAAAGGGAAGTTGCAGTGGCAGAAATGGTAAAGTTGAAACATCTCATCAGTTGCAAAGCTCTGACAAAGCCACCAAAGGACCAGAAGCCCCCACCATTCACAGGAGGGTTTGTTCCACCTCAGTAACGACAGACCCTTTTCCACATCCTCAAGTCAACATGGTCAACTTAAATTGGC